AAAAAATATTAAAATTCTTTAATATAATTAAATTAAAAGTGGGTATTAAATTAAAAATGAGAATGGGGATAGGGACGGAGATGGGTACGAGTACGGGACGGGTAAGTACATACCCGTACCCGTACCCGTACCCGATTTAATATATCGGGTTTTACCCGTACCCGTACCCGGTCAAACCGGGTATTCCCCGTCAAAGTCGGGACGGGTTCGGGTATTACCCGCGAGTACGGGTATATTTGCCATCCCTAATTAAGACGAGAAGAGATAATCGAGATGTGGTGGCCGATCACCTCACTAGACATATCTCCAATATATCAAGTAACTCGACCTCCCAAGAGAAGTCGAAATAAATCCAATTGAAATTTATATATAGAATAAAATCTTATCTTTATTAGTCAAAATCTCACTAATAAATAACTATCTTATCAAATCACAAAAATCTTGAAACCCGTAATTCCATGATAATCAAGCATAAAAATCTTAACCCTAAAATAAATAATGAGATTACACTTTTGAATATTTTGACTTTGATTGAATGACTAAACTAATCATAAATATTCTCCATACCAGAACAATTATAAATTTTAAATATGATGTAATTTATATATTCAATAGTAATTATTTATTATAAATTTTAGTTATATAAAATAAATATTTATCAAGTTCAAATATTAGTTGTCAATAATAAAAAATAACAATGTATCACAAATGAAATTATCTATTATAAATATAAAATATAATTTATATATATTCAAAAATACTTATTTCGTATGAATTTATCATAATATATTTTTTAATTAAAATATTTATATATTTTAGTGATATAAGAAAACATTTTTCTATTTAATGCACGTGTCAAAATTCTAGTTTATAATATAACAATAGATTTACAAAATATAAATTATTTAAAACTTTTTTGATGATAGAAATTTCATAATTATATTACGTTTTTTATGCATTTGATGTGAAATATTCAGATCAAAATAATTTACAGTTGTAAATTTTTGGGTTAATTTTAGTCCTCGAAAAATTTTCA